ACAAAAATTACTTATTATCATAAATTAAACGACAATTACATTGAATGTATTATATATTCTATCTTATAAAAATTATCATAATAATAGTTGCACACAATATTATCTAATAATGCAATTTTGTTTATAGATTTGGAGTCCTACTTTTACTACATGAAAATGAGAAAATTCCAACGAAAATTACAACAAGAATATAACGATCTTCTTAAGTTGAATTGAGAAAAATCATGTCTTTTGGTTTCTTAAATATATTTTATCTTATTGTGACTGTATTGATTTATTAAAATGTATTACAAAATGAGAAATGTGATAGATTAATTTATAAATTACAATGACATGTTATTTTGATGGTATATTTTTTCTATTAACTAAATAATGCCCCCAATATGAAATTATTTGAGATCTATCACTGCAATTAGTTTTCCAATGGAATTTCCATTGAATTTTTGCACAATTCCAATGACAGTTTTTCCAACGATTGAAATATGGTCCAAAAAAAATCCAATGGAAATTCAAATAATTGAAATCTTTAAATCCACTAAAGTTCAAGTAATTTAATTTGAACTTTTTTGGAATAGCCAATGAAATTTTCCAATGAAAGCAATATTTATGAAATATTAGTTGGAATTTTCTGTAGATTACCTTACCGTTGATTTTTTCATTGCAATATAGCAATTTGTTGCAGTCCTCTTAAACATTAACTTTTTATGTAGTATTTATTGATTAATTGTGTTTACAATTTTTCTATTAAAAATATATTAAACACATGAACTTTTTAGTTCTTATATTTTTTTTTTTCAAAAATTACTCATTATTTTATCTCAAGATTACCTATTAATTTACCAATTGAGTTAGATTTCTTACATATTAAATATTTAAAAATTAGAATATTTCCTATTTTATATGTTCAATATGATATTTATATATTATATTAAAGAAAACTAATATAGCATATATAAAGTTATTTAAAATTAGAATAATAAAGATTTTTTTTTGTAACTTGCATGGATAAATGTACAAATAACTATTGTCTATCACATCATATTTACACATAAAATTATAAGGAGAAAAAACTAAAAGCGTTTAACAACACAACTCGTTTACGTCGATAAGTATATTTATAAAAGGTTTATATTTCTTCTATTAATTATAACATTTTTATTTATTACTTTGTTTCATATTTATTAGTACGTGTCACAACTTATTTATTTTTAATATTATTTATCATATTTAATATTTTTTTAAACTTTTATCGTGTTCTTTTTCATGTTCTTAACTGTAGATTTGTCAAAAAATGCATGATATAAAGTCTAGAATTGTTTCGACCATCTGTCTCATTATATATCAATTATTTGTATATCTTATATTATATTATATTTAATTACAATTTTTTTTAATTTATACTACAATTAAATATTTATAATTCATAAATTCGTCAATAATATTTTCGAGTCAACTTTTGTTCATAAAATTTTAAAAAACATAATTATTTTCAATTATATGCTTATGTCGAATGGAGAAAAGTTATTTTTTTTTAATTGTAACTGTATTGATGTGTAACATATATTATAGATGAGAAAGATGACAAATTATGAAAAATATAATTTATAAATTATAATGACATTATGTTATTTTACTGGTATACCTTTTCTATTAACTGAATAATGCCTCAAGTATGAAATTATTTTGTATCCACCACTGCAGGTAGATTTCGAATAAAACTTCCATTGAAATTCTTACATTTCAAGTGATATTTTTTCCAACTGTTGAAAAATGACCCGAAAAAAATTCAAACATAAATTCACACAATAACAAATAATGATAACTGGATTAATTAAATCCACTAAAATTTCAATATAATGTAATTTGATCTCGGAATAGTCAATGAAATTTTACAATGACAGCTATACGAATAAAATATCATTTGGGATTTTCAGTGGATGTCTTACCGTTGGATTTTTCATTGCAATGTATTTTTTTATTCCTTTATAAATTATATTTTTTATGTAGAAGTTTTTGTTATTAATTAGATGTATTTATAATTTTTCTATTAAAAATATATTAAACACATGAACTTTTTAATCCATATATTTTTTAGAAATTGCTGATTATTTTATCGTAAGACTACCTATTAACTTATCAATTGAGTTACATTTCTTGCACATTAAATATCAAATAATAAAAAGTATTATTGTATATATATAATATGGTATTTATATATTATATTAAAAAACTAATAGCAAATAAAACGTTATTTAAAATCAAAATTATCAAAGCTTTATTTAAAAAAATAATAAATTTCTAATCTACATAGATAAAACTATAAATAACTATTGTCTATCGTCTAAAATTTATACATTGAACTAATAAGCGCAAAAATTTAACATGTGGTGAACAATTTGGCTCATTTACATCGATAAATACAAATTTAAAAGTTCTACAAATACTTTTACTAATTATAATATTTTTATTTATTACTTTTTTTCATAGTTATTAGTAAGTATTACAACTTAGTTATAAATTTAATATTATTTATTAGATTATTGTTTTTTTAACTTTAAACTGTTCTTTCATATGTATTTTAATATATATGTGTGTGTGTGTGTATAACTTTTAGGTTTGTTAAAAAATACATAAAATTAAAGTATAGCACTTTTTTGAATCATATATCTTATTTATATCAATTAATTTTATATCTTTATATTATATTATATATTATTATAATCTTCTCATTTATACTCAAATATATAAATTTTTTATTTCGTACATTTTTTTCTTAAAAACCATTTTATTATAATAACACATCTTAATAGATAGATGAGTAATGATAATATATGAATATAATTATTTGATTAAAATAATTAATTTTCAACATGTAAATCATATTACGATTCTCGAGATATTTTTAATTTATTTGTAAATAATTATATGGTTAAAATTAATCCATGTTGCTAAAGTGGTATCTCATTTAACGTGAAAACGAATAGATTAAGTTTTAGTATTATACAATTTCATAAAATTATTCTGGTCTTATGTATCGAAGAAATTGAATTGATTAGAAGTTTAGGTTGCAGAACAATCATTCAACAATTAATCTCGCATACTATTATACATTTTGTATAGGTTATTTTGAAAATAATGTTTATATACTTTGTGGTGGTTATGAGAAAAAAACAATATCGATTTCTAGTTTTATAAGTGTTTATTATGCTCTTTTTGTTGGATCAATTTTAATTTCTTTAAGGAACTTTTATATATTAGAGTTATGAAATGTGATTACAATATTATCATTAAAATTATATTAAAAATAATGACGTTTTTCAAAACAATAATTCTATATCATATCAAACAGTTTTAGAGATATGTGGAAGAAAACAAATTTGTGAGAAATAATGGTGCCAAACCCAACATACTGTAGTTGATTTTAGGAGTGTGGAATGATTTGTTCATGTATTTGTATTTAATTAATTAAATATTAGTTATAATTGAAATATAAGATATGATGGACATTAATATATTACTAATTTGCCATTAAAAACATGTCAAAGTAAGGGTTTATTAGGTAATTCATTTTAATATTTAAAAATATAAAATATGATGTGTATTAGTTTATTACTAATTTGTCATTAAAAATATACCAAAGTAAGGGTTTTTTAGATAGTTCATATTTTTACAAAAACACTCATCCTTTTATAGTAGTATAGATAGATATAGATATAGATATAGATATAGATATAGATAGAGATATTTTATAGTAGTATAGATAGATATAGATATAATATAAATAGAAATAGATATAGATATAGATAGATATAGATATCTATATATATATAATAAGAATTAACATTTTTCAAAAATAGTAAGCAAAAAAATAGGAAAGATTAATTACATTCTATTTTTGGTATGTTTTTCTAAGTTTTTAAATAAAAAATCAATTAGCATTTAGTGCTAGCACAAATCATGGGATTTGTTATATAGATGCATATTTGAATTTCAAACTTCAAACAAAACATGCATAAATGTATTTTGAATTTTTTAGGGGAAAAATTTAACAAACACGTTAAAGATTTCATACAATACATATATTTATATATATTATCTTAACATATAGGTTAATTAGTTTCATATCTAAACAATATATATTTAAACAATATATAAACAAATATAATAATTTGTCGTACAATACAGACAAATATATAAACGATATATTTATATACAAACATAATAAACAAATATAGTAAACAATACAAACAAATATACAAACAATATATAAACAAATATAATAACTTGTCACGTGTATATTTCGTACAACATATATATTTATATATATTATCTTAACATATAAGTTAATTAGTTTCATATCTAAACAATATATATTTTAGGAACTTAAAGATTCATAACATTACTGACGTCATGTATATTTATAATATATTGTCACGTACATTTTATTACAATTGGTAACTTTTTTAAAATTATTTGAATAATTGGAAGTTGATTTGTAATTTCAATTTCAAATTCATTCAAACATTTAAAGGAAAATATCATAAGCAGATTTTTTTGATACATTTCAATTTATCTCAACTTACATATAATCACATTTCTACTAAACATTAAATTTACTTATATCTTTTTAAATTAATTACATCAATAAATAATATTAATATATATTACACATTTATCATTATATAACAAATATATTACTTCTACAAGTGTTATAAATAATAATGACATTATATGATAATAGATTTTTTTGATAGATTAACAATTGAGTATTATGGTGAACCAAAATATGTAAAATTATTATTATTTTGTATTAAAAATAAATATATATGTTAAAATATTATTTACATAATAATATAAATGGATCAGCATGCTAATATATTGTGAAAATTAAATTTTTAAAAAAATAGTTCTAAAGTACGAAAATCTCGTGCATCGCACGGGACTCTCACTAGTAGATTATATTCTTGTAGCATTTTCATTTTACTTTTCTTGTAAACCGTTTTCGATTCTATAGTCTGTGTGTGCACCAGCCCTGAAAATGCTGCTGCAACTTAGGTCCCGCCTCTTAAACCCTAATTTCTCCTCTTTCCTCACCTTACCATCGCCTTATCCTCCTTACAAACCTCCTCAATTTACGCTCTCATTTCGCGCCTTCATTCATCAGAGGCCAAATTCCCGGCAAGCCGCCGCTGCCAAGTCCCCGGGCCCGGCGCCCGTCTCCGACGCCGCCCAATTCGTTCGGACGGTGCTCTTTGTGCCGCCGGGCGTCGACCCGGATGACGTCACCGATGACATGGTCCTGCCCGGGTCGAATATCGTGCTCGGGCCTTACGCTGGGGACGCCAAAATCAAAGAGGTGGATTTCGTCAAGAGCAGTAACAGGCCGAAGGACTGCCCGAAAGACGCCCGCCCGGAATTCGCCATGTTGGGCCGATCGAATGTCGGCAAGTCTTCTCTTATTAACTTTTTGGTGCGGAAAAAGGATGTCGCTCTTACTTCCAAGAAGCCAGGTCTCACATACATTTATGAATAATGGTGTTGGTGGGTTTGTGTGTGTGTGTGTGTGTGTGTGTATGTGCTCAAAATACTAATCTGTTAGGTGGTTTGTGCAGGAAAGACTCAATTGATTAATCATTTCTTGGTTAACAAGAGCTGGTACATTGTGGATTTGCCTGGATATGGGTAAGGTGCTAATATCTTTTCACTTTTGGAAGTAATGGATCCTATACTTAGTTATGTCCCAATTTACTGTAATTTGTTTTTGAACAATGGGGCTAAAACTATGAAATGAAGTTTCGGTTCCCTAATTTGTGTGTATTTGACGGACAGGATTAAGTTTATCTTTACTGTTGTTTGGTTTATGCACCCTGTCTTCGATATTTTTGTTTGGGGTTTATAATCTAGTGTAAACAAAGATGACTGTTTATGCATTCTGTCCATACAGCTTTGCGAATGCCCCTGAATCGGCAAGAATGGATTGGTCATCTTTCACCAAAGGTTACTTTTTAAACCGAGAAACTCTCGTTTCTGTCCTACTTCTGGTTGACGCAAGTGTTCCGCCTCAGAAAGTCGACCTGGATTGTGCAAATTGGCTTGGGCGTAATAATGTATATCTTTAGCTTTTTAATTAATTTATTTTTTCACAAAAAGGGGTATGCCTTTTTGCAATTTACTGAAAGAAGCTATACGCTATATTTTACATCTTACCTATTCTTGTTCATGTGCGTGTTTGTGTGTCGTCTGTAGATACCCATGACTTTTGTTTTCACAAAGTGCGATAAGATGAAAGGAAGCAAGGGAAGAAGGCCAGATGAGAACATTCGAGATTTCCAAGAGATCATCAGACAGAACTATCGGCAGCATCCTCCATGGATTATGACGAGTAGTGTCACAGGGTTGGGGAGAGACGAGCTTCTTCTTCACATGTCGCAGCTTAGAAACTATTGGGATAATGAGTAGTGTTAGATGAATGAAATGCAAATGGCTTGTGTTCTGGGATTTCACATCTTTTTGTTTTTCAGGCTTGGGGACTTGCAAAGTTACTTTTTTTTGTCTCTTGTTTGTTCTATATATAGTTATACTGCTTCAGTTGAATTATTCCATGATGCTATCGTTGAGATGGATCCCGTGACACCTGATATCTAGCCCTTGTATATATGTTTATTTTGACGGTCTAACTGAATAATCGAGCAGTTGTTTACCTTGTCGACTTCTAATTTTGCAATTTACCATAAGGACTGTGCTATAGCCTATTTGCATCAACCTCATGAAATTGGGTTTATTCTCATTTTTCCCATGTCAGCTAGTTTTGTGCAACCGCCATTCCCTGCAGTCTGTTGTGTTGGGAAGGGAACTGTTTGCACATAAGGTTTTTGAGGAATATGAAGGTATGTATGCCATTGGGGGTGAAAATTTTGAAGTTGATCATAATGAACGATTTTAATTTGTAACTGATTTGAATTTTATTGAATTTCACCGATTTACACCAATCGAATTAAAAAAGAAGTTTCTCCCAAATCTTTGAATTAAATAATCAGTTGTCTTGGTTTAAAGATTATAAATTTGTAATTTACAACATTCAACAGAGCCCTGTTGTTGGCTCTTTATATCTCAACTGTTAAGGCCTCCTGCTGGGTACTCAGCTTTAGGTTTTCCTTATGCTCTTCTTCATTAGCATCTATCTATATATTTGAGATCTTCCATTGTTTGCTTGTAGTCTGAAAATATATCAACAATTAATTTAACAAAACACAGAGAGCGGTTACCTCTCGTCTTCAAGAGCTATCAAGCAGATGCATGCTTCATTATTTTTCTTTTGAAGGCCCAATAGCTCTACCCTTGTGTGCTTTCCTCTTCCCCTCAGCCTAAAGGGTTAATTTTATGGACATTCTATAGTGAAGTGGCCAAGTTTACAGTAGTTTTTTTTTCTTCTCTTGCTTGTTTGTTGACTTAATTATTTTGGTTTCTATTATTTCTCTCCTTTCAACGTCTAACTTGAACTATTTTCTGTCCCAATAAAACTCAAACTTAGACAGATCATGTAACTCCACCATCATGAAGAATTTGTGGTTATGTATTTTACTATTAATATATCTTAGTTGCAATTCTAAGGTAAAATAAATAATGAATAATCTTATAAGCTCAAGAAAACAAGACTATAGAGCAACAGGAACAATATCCTTCCCCAAAATAGCAAAACCCTCCCCCAATTATATCGGCGCGCTTCTCCAATTCCCATCGATTTGCCTTCCTCGGCGACGGTATAGTCTCGGCTAGGGGTCGTCGATGACCATCCCGGCCCCCTTTGACGTCGCGCGTCTCTGATGTTCTGTGGATGGGTCGATTGGGGCTCTGGCTCTTGGTCGCGGACAGGGACTCAAGTGGCGTCTTCCTTCCCGGACGGCGATTGGTGGTGGAGTTCCTCCGTTACCGGCGTTGCTCCGATTCGTGATGGTAAGCCTCCTGCTTCTCCTTTGTCGGCGATTGCCAGAAGTCTTGTTTCCGGCGGAGCTCCGTCTTTCTGGCGGGTCTGCTCCTTTGGCTGGGCTGTCTGTGGAGGTGTCGGGCGGAGTGCGGGTCTTTGGGTAGGGCGGGACCCTGGTGGCTGCGGCGCGTTGGTTGCGGTGGTCGGGGTGAGGGCCGTTTCTCTCTCACAATCCCCCGTTTGACTAGTGGTGTCAGGCGGCGGGGGAGGTTCTATCGGCTCATCTAGTGGTGTTAGAAGAGTTCGAGTGGAATCGGTGTGGGACTGACCATGGTTCTCTCGGTCATTGATGGGTCGATTCGGGGACTGGTTCGGGGTTAGGTTTCATCTACTGTATAGGCTTGATTGCAGTTTCGGTAGCTGTTTCTTGGCCTGAACTTGTCTTGTGTCAATCGTTCACTGCTGGTTTGGGCTTCTTCTTTTTTCGTAGTTTTGTGTGTTTGTTAGTGTTATTGTGTGTTTTGTGAGTATTATCCCATTGGGTCAGCTCTAGGCGGTCTTTTAACTGTCCTCCCACTTTATTCAGCTGTTGGCTGGTTATATTCAGCTTTTGGTTGTCTGTATTCAGTTGGTGGCTGTGCTTTTGTACATTTGTTCTTTTTTTATCTAATATCTCTATCGTTTCGAAAAAAAAAAAAGAATTAATACTATTTTTTATATTTATATGTGTAGAGACTGGTTCAAATAAAAACTAGTCTTTGTTGAGAACCATGAGAACCGTATTTGATGCTATTTTTAATCTTTATGATGCAATTTTTAATATTACATAGCGTTATAATTTTCACAAATATTAATGTAAATTGTGTTGCTACTTTTAATAATATACATAATGGTAAAAAATAGCACTAAAACACAACCAATCATGGTTTTCACAACTTGGTTCTCATTTGAATCACATCTTATATGTGTATATGTAGATATAACCTTTTGGGGTTGGGTTCAAGTGAGAAAGAGTCTTCGTGAAAGAAATGAGAATAAATCTCAGCCATAGGATTGAATGATTCAACAGCTTAAAAAAAGCCAAAATTATACCTTCACTAAGGACATTGTAGTATTTTTCCACACCACATTCAAATGGGTGTGTCCCACTCCACATTAATACACCTACGAACTACTACTTGCCAGCTACCCTCCACCAGCTCACCCCACACCACACCACACGTTATCTCTCCTCTCTCTCTCTCTCTCTCTCTCTCTCTCACACACACACACACCCACACACACACTCATGTTACACACACATATATATACATCATCACACACAAAGACGCCTGGCCTCATCGTCTCCGACTCTCACCGGTGCTCCACCCATCGCCGCCTCGCAGCCACCAGACGCAACAGACGCCGGCGTTCATCCGACGTATGCTGCAGTCCCGCCAATCGCAGTCGTCCTACCGATCGCTGTAGACCCGCCGCAACCTGCCGTCTGTCATGTATCCATCGCGACAGGCGAGACTTCGTCCCAGTGAATACCCGTCAGAGAAGACAGCCACATCGCCTCGCCAGTTGACTCCGTCGCCAGCCGTCTCTCTCTTCTCTCGTATCCTCGTCGGAATCGGGACTGGTGACGAGGTTGTTGAGGACGAAGCCTGTAACACCCCGCTTATCAGAGTAAATTTTTCGCAACTTTTACTTCGAAAATACTTAACTCTTTCGAAATCTTTTGCGACTAACTCGGGATGCTACTCAAACTCATCATTTTGAAAATCCATTTATCTTTAAACTTTTGTCTAATACTTCTTTAGACATAAATAAAACAGATTTCCTTTAACCTTGCATTTAAAATACCATAATCATATTTCTCATAATGGTAAAAACTTGAAATCTGAAATTCATTAAAATGCAAGCTCAATACTTAATGTGCATAGCGGAAATACTTGAAAACGTGGTTAATTATACAGACTGTTATAAATGTCCGTATCGAAGCTTGTCTTCATCTGAGTCCACGATCCACACCAACACTGCTCCACTCACACCTCCTCTTCGACCTGTTACCTGAAACTAAAACTCATGGGTTGAGTAACGAATATGGATAATCATAAACCGATATCTGATCGGTAACCAGAAATCTGTTCTGGTACTGAAACTTAAACTGGCCGATATCTGATCGGATACGTGTGCACACTCTGATGGATATTTCTAAGGCACCTAATGGCCTCCATCAGAACTTAGGATGTAATCTCTGAGAACAAATTAATGCCTCCTCATCCTAAGCGTAAAACATAAACTGTAGGATATACTTTGAGACAACTGATGGTCTCCTCATCCCATATGACATCAATATCGTACTCAACGTGATACCCATTCAGGGTCCCCACCTTTTTGTCTTTGAAATCATTTGAAAAAAACGATAAGTGTTGTACTGGTACTGTATCTGCAAGTTACATCAAATATAAACAAATATACTAAGTACTATGCTCGTATACTCAATAAGCATTTTAGGATTATTAACTTATCCAAATCTTATAGAAATTCATTAAACTTGCTTTTTCTCAAGTTTATACTTAACTTCTCTTTTTACTTTTACTTAAGGTCAATTTCTTAACCTTATAAATCATGTCTTCATAAACATCAATATGGTATTATACTTAGCATGTCATAACTCAAATGTGAAAATAACTATATTTCACATTATACTTGATTGAGTATTTAAACTTAAAACATGCTTACTTTTACCAACATCATCAACATGATTTATAACTTATCTTAATTTAATTTGATCAAATACTTAATTCATCATACATCATATTTCCCAATCTTTAGATATTGGCTTATACTAAATTTTCACTTAATTAACTTGAAAGTGAAAATAATCTCAAGCCATAATCATCTTTTACTCATAACATTTAATCATGATGTTAATATGTCATACTTAATACAATCTTTATAAAATTGTATACTCAACATATTATACCAAAACTTCATCAAATTACTCATCACTTATATGAGAATTACTCATGATCATCTCATTTTAACAACTTAAACATTTCATGAATATTCTTGCATATATATACTTATCTTTACATATATGCTTTCTTATATTCATAACTTATTCATTTCTCATCTTTAAATTATGAAACTTAACAGTCATATTCTTAACTCATATTTAGACATGTCATAAAAATTTCATAATTTTATCATGCATATATCTCGACTTATTCAAGTTTAAAGTTGCTGCTGGAAACAAGTACATAAAATTCAGCTTGCATGATAAACTTTAAAAATTCATATCTTGAGTTATACTAAACTAAATGACTTGATTCTTGATCCTATGTACTCCTCTTTTACACAAGAAATAACCATAGAAAGCATAGATTTCCAGATTTTTCATAGCTATGTAAAAATCTCATCATAACTGAACACATATGACATATATATGAGCTGGAAATAACTTATTTTCTAGCATGCTTATATTCATATAAAACTTTAATATCTATGTCATATAAAAACATTATTAAACACTTAATATCATCTACTAAACATGTAAACTCATTATCAAAACATGAACTTAAGCATGTAACTTTAAGATAAGTAAATTACCTCCTTCTTGCTAGAATCGTAACTTAATTCTTCACTTCTAAATTCTTCACTTCTCCAAAGTTTCTACTACTCATTCTCTCTTACACTCTTATATAACTTTTGGTACTTAACTTTGGTGTGAGAACTCTGATTTTTAGGCCTCTATTTATAGGCACAAATTGGCAAAACATCATAATGGAGTGAAGAAATGAACAAAATAAACAATTTAAACTTATAAA